AAAAAGGGACTAAACAATCGTTTGGAATGAAATTCAAACGAGTTTGATAAAAAAAAAAGACCAACCACAAATGAAAAAGTGTACTATCAGGAGTAATCATAGATGAAATGAAGTGCAGCAGTCTAGTTTCCAAATCATAAACAAACACAATGTGAACTAATGAGGAGCTAAACTTCACAGGTCACGACGGTTATAATAATAGCGTATGTATTCCAATCGTCGCTCTTTGCTCAGTGCTGTGAAGAAGTCTCGGTGGAGGGAATCATGAAAGAGGTCTACTGCAAAGTACAAAAGATCACGATCCCCTGTAAATTCTGGATCTTCCTCAAGAAGTCCAATGACCTCATGAACCGAGGTTTTTTGAACTCTGTGAGGGGCATCATTAGATGAGTCGACTAAGAATGAGAGTTGCTCCCTCAGAGATGCAGTTCCACTCTTTCTCTTACGTTCGTTCTGGGGGCGCTTCGCACGGTTGGTGGATTGAATTTCAGGTGGCTCAACACTGCGAAATTCTGCAGAATCATTTGACAATTCAACGGCCACATTCTCGGGGGTTGTTTTGAAAACTGTTTGACTCGGGGCAGCTGAATATTTCCCTATAGCGACCACCCCACCAAACATCGTCTGTAACTATCTATAACTTGCTCATCAATTCTGGTTCATTCCTAGCCAATTTGAACTTCTTTGCCGCAGGAACAATCTGCAAATGAGAATGTATGGTTATTAGAAATAAAAATTAGAGCTTATTAAAATTAGAGCTTCTTAAAATTAAAAAAGAAGACTCAACAAAATCTTACCGCAAGCCGTTCTTGCCACCAATCCTCGGATGCCTCAATTGTTCTATTCACTGGATCCCATCCTAATCCAGTGGAGCCACGCTTCAAATCATTCCACAGTTTCCAATCTTTCTTAAGCTGGTCCCATTTATTCTTCAATTGGAGCCTATCATATTCCCTACTTGTTATCTTCTTGAATTTGCTAATAATGTTATCCCAACCTTCCTTATTGAGAAATGTCGTTGGCCTATTTCCCTTATCAATTTCACATATGCATAGGTCACAGAATATTAATTTTGTGTCCTTCTCCCAAAGTGCAGGAGACAACTTTTTTGTTTTTATTAGCCATGCTAATAATATCACAAAAACAAAATAACCCACAAGATGAATTAATATAATGGATTTAAACATTGCTAAATAAATGAAAGCATACATATAAACGAGTTGCAAGCAATAAACCAAACCAGAGATGTAAATATAAGGGAACGCAAGAATTTACGTGGTTCGGTCAACTGACCTACGTCCACGGGAAACGAATGCAATATTTTATTGAAATAGTTGCTGAAATTTTGAAACATATCAACAAGGACTCCTTTGTTGTACACATAAGCACAACTTACATCATATAAACAATATATAACATGCAAGTTCTCATTACTTCTCTTCCTTAGTGCAGCCACAATCTTCTCACATCCAACTACAATAACAATCAACAACCGAAAAAGAACAGAAATCCGGAGCATAGGAGTATTTCTTGCGGTGGAAGGCATGCATTGCAAGAAAGCAAACCAAAATTAGTAGAAAAATAACAGTGTACAGAAAAAATGTGCTCCTAAACTATGAATGCTTCCTTTAACCAATGTCATATAATTTAAGCTTTTCTAATTATCGATACCATCAAAGTAAGCATAAAAGCTATAGCACTTAAGTAGAGCCAACATATTTTCCACTGCACAAAATTCGCATAGAAGTAAAACAGTACACCATTGTGTCGCTAAACACAGGAGTGAAACGGCCTAGTTATCGAGCAAAAAGCCAAGACAATACCTTGTTAGAACAAAGGTCATCTCAACAGTAATATAAACTTGCACTAAACAAAGTCCTGTGTTCAGCTCCTACTAACAAATAGAGGTTTACAAAGAACAAAGTCTCTTGTAAAAAACAATGAAATTTACTGAGAGAACAGTAGCCTACGAGGAGAGTTCACCATCAAGTCAACTAATTATACAGTTGAATAAATAATAGATGATAATTATGTTGAGTTGACATTTTTTGAGACTACTCCTTAATGTGAGCCTAAATGAGCCTCTACTGAAACTTAGCAGATGTAACCAAAGCACCTGCAGGAAGATTTCATGTAAGAGAGCCAAGAGGCCCTAGATAGATGAACATTCATTGAAATCCATCACCCATGTATTAATTAATGAATTTGTGGGAACAACTGAATCCATCCAACAACCAAACTCATCCAAGAAAAAATATATCCCAATACAATCCTAAAATAACTCCCCTGTAATATAGACATCTCATGACCGAGCTGCTTGACATGAACATTATCAAAAAGTAGAATGTCAATGATGAACATTTATGATAAATAGTTGCCAAAGCAATGCATTATCAAATTTATATTAATTACATTCCCCATTACCATAAAAAAGACCCCTCCAATTTTGTGCATAATAAATTCTTTATTTGTAATGCACAAGTTAAGCCTTTTATAAATATGAGTGAACATTGTAACAAAGCTTCTAAAAGAAATAATGACTTTCATCTCCTTCTAGCTCTCTTCCCTTGATACAACCTTTCCTTGAGATTTCAATCCTCCAATAAACATATCAATTAATAGCTCAAACTTATAGTGGCTAGCTCGAAAAAACAGCAAGAACATATCAATTAATAGCTCAAACTTTAGCTAATAAATCCCTTCTTGAGTGAGTCATCAACCTTTCTTTTAAAATACAAAGTAAATACTGATATTTTCAATAGCAAAATGTTATTACACCATTTCCTGTGTGCTTCAACAGATTATTAACCAACAAGCTCGAAAAAA